GTCCTACTCTGCCTACCCGAGATCACTCCTCTATATGAAAATATCAGATGAACAATACTCATGAGTATTTTGCCGAAAGTGGTATGAGTACTCAACAATACCCAAGCATGGGTACTCAAAGTCGTACTCAGAGTACTTGTTACTCACTCGTGAGTACTCATTGAGTAAAAAAATGTATGAGTACGTATGAGTACTCGTCCAGTTTTTCTAGCAGAGTACTTTTTGAGTACTCACACTTGAGTACATTCACTAGGGTTCTTATATTGAGCATCATTCTTTTTCACCACGGTTAACTCAAGACATGAAAGATGACGCTTGTATGTTTCTTTCTTATGATCTTGTTTTGTTCTGTTCGAATTTACTGTTTCTGCTCACTCGTACTTTGTGTGCATAGAACATCTTTTCTTTCGAAACAAGGAATACGAAAAGAACAAATTTTCATTTTTATCGATGTTCAATATATTGACTGTCAGGGGGGAAAGAGTCGGTGCACGAAGCTCTGTGATTTTTGTGCTTCTCATCCATGAAGGAGAAAAATTCAGCGAAAGAGGGCATGTATGTAATCACTTACTGATTCTGAGGTGGTATATCACCATCTGGTTAATATCGAGTTTTTTCCGTGAAAACGGATGAGAAGCACAAAAATCACAGAGTTTCATGCACCGACTCTTTCCCCCCTGACAGTCAATATATTGAACATCGATAAAAATGAAAATTTGTTCTTTTCGTATTCGAAAGAAAAAATGTTCTTTGCACATAAAGTACGAGTGAGCAGAAACAGTAAATTCGAACAGAACAAAACAAGATTAGAAGAAAGAAACATACAAGCGTCATCTTTCATCTCTTGAGTTAATCATGGTGAAAAAGAATGATGCTCAATATAAGAAATCATTAAAATAAAATTTTGAGTAATACAGATTACACATCTAAGCTGATACAATAGCGGAATATCGACGTCACTTTCTATTCATTAGAATATATCCCAACTACAGTATTAATACAGTTGTAGTGCTCGTGTGAAACATTAAAATAAAATAACTTTCGAAACTGGGATACTGTTGTGAACATTACTCACTACCTTTATGTAGAATACAGATTTTACTTTATGTTGAGTAGTTTAATTTTTACCCTGTAAATGTCCCGTTTTCTCTACAGCTCCTGACGATCCAGACATTAATTTTACGCTATTTTCTTTAGAATCCTTTATTTAGAGGACGAAATACGAAATTAATTTCGTCCTCTAACTCAGGCGCTCAGATATCAAACTAAACCAACTATCAGTTAATAAAATAACGAAATGAATAATATTTTGAAGTATCGACAGATAATAAAACATTTGCAAGTTAATGAAAGTATCGTTATTAAGAGACCTGAAAAAAGGAACATTACTTTACCTTGAGATATTATATACGAATATAAATAATAGCTAAATAAATCGAGATAAAACTGTTTGGTATTCGTACAAATAGTATTTATAGCTAGATGTTTCAATTTATTTGCTAAATTTTCACCAGTACAAAAAAATTCAAAGTATATCATTCAATTCAAAATTAAAACATAATCAAATATTAACGTGTAACTAACATAGTTTTATACATAATCTTTAACTGATGTGATAGTAAAGGAAAATTTATAAAAGTGAAAATTTAACCAAACCATATAAAATGTAGTAATAACACTGCATAATATCGCCATCTATCATTTAGTCTTCTCCGTAAATGTTTAATATGACGATATGAAAACTTTCCGTAAGATGTTAGTAGCACTCGAAAAATTTCAATGAATGGAAATGAATCACAGTTTACAACTGACCGAAAGGATTTAGGGAACAAAATGATTGGTGCTCAGTAGTTGCAAAGCACTCGAACAACATCAAAGAACAAGTAACAGAAATTTAATTTTAAAAATTTTATTATTACATATTTATCTATCATGTCTTTACCTATAATCATGTTATTAACTATTACGTCTTGTTTCTTACGAAGATGTTTTTTATGACGTTTGATTGTCTTATTATATCCCCTATATTATTAGCAGCACTGTGTTCGTTGAGGCATGGAATGTTGTAAGGTTTCTTTGTCGTCAAAAATCTTAATTTTTTCCGAAATCTTCTCTTTTTTATAGCAACTTCTTTTTCTGAATTCAAATGTTTGATTTTTGCCAGTCATCCTTACATGAATTTACAGAACTTTACTCACAATATGCAAAAAAGTGTTTCTCTTCTAGATGTGACAGAATGGGTTGTTTCTTCGGTAAAGATTCTTCACCTGCAGTAAGATATAAAATTAATAATGAAGAAAATGGCGTTAAAGCGGGGGCGATCAATGAGAAAAGTTCAGCCAAAGACCGATGTGTGTATTGACGTAAAGAGTTTTTGATACTTCTTACAAATACTTTTCATTTTTCTTTAGCTGGAAATTCCGTATCTTCTGGCAGAAATGGCCAACCTTCAAACGCAAATACAAAAGAAAAAGGTGATGCTTAGTTTTTAAATATGTAGTAAAACACTTGTTTTCCCTCGTGTCGTTTTACTGTAGGATAAAAAAGAGTTTTATCGGTAAGATACTTCCCTCTTAAACGCTTTTGTATTTTGATAATAAGATGCAAGAGGACGAGACGGAAAAAATGTTTTCAGATATTAAAAATTTTTAGCTTTTTCTTGGTTTACACCGCTTGTTTGTATTAGGTGATGGGTAAAAGTAATGAACAATACTGCTTAATTAATTTGATTATAAGCACCTTTATATCTCTGAGATTGATTTATTCATTGTCTTTTTAGGCAAAACGTACGTGGCTATTTACGATTATGATGCCCGTACAGACGAAGATTTGACATTTCGTGTAGGAGAAATTTTAATTGTATTTGATGACAGGTACGAAACTGAATTAGCTCGTTCTATTGCTTTTTTAATTTTTTCTATGTTTATCTCTATCTTCAGTCAGGAAGATTGGTGGTTGGCGAAACATTCACAAACGGGTTTAAGAGGTTATATCCCAGCTGTATATGTAGCACCATACGGCGGATTAGATGTTAATGTGTAAGCTTGTTTTGTTTTGTTATGATTGTTTTGTTTCATTCGACTGCTCTCATCGCTTTCTATATTTGTATTCTTTTTCTGTTTAGATGGTTTCACAATAACGTATTAAGAAAAGAAGCTGAACGACTTCTACTAAATCCAGTTAATCCACGAGGATGTTTTCTAGTTCGAAATTCTGAAAATGCACCTGGTATCTAGATACATTTGTAAAGAAATGTATATTATAATTAGTTTTTTGTTTATTTAAGGTCCGTATTCGTTATCCGTCCGTGATTTAGATGAACAACGTGGCTCTCATGTAAAACATTATAAAATACGTACATCAGACACCAAAGGCTATTACATAGCAGCTCGAAGAGTATTTAAAACATTAGAAGAATTAGTCAAATATTACAGTGGTAAGTTACGAGAGTTCCTGTTTAAATTTGCTTAACCAATCAAATCAACAGGAAAAGAGTGAATGTGCTCCGTTTCCCCCGCAATAGTAAAAAACGTATTTAGGTTATGTTGTTTTATCACTTCCTCTGTGCGGTGATAAAAGCTAGTATCTTTTTGTTTTGAATTCATGGAAGACCTAGTAGCAGTCTTATTTTTTCAATGCAGACTAATGCCGTTGACTGTATGTTTTTAGAAAATGTGGATGGTTTATGTTGCCAACTAACTATTCCCTGTCCTCGACCAAAACCAACCACATGTACAATATCTAAAGATGTGTGGGAAGTACCAAGAAATAGTTTACAATTTGTTAGAAAATTAGGACAAGGAATGTTTGGGGAAGTATGGGAGGGTAAGTACTATATCAGAGTTTGATTCTTATCATGGCTAAAGGATTTTTGAAACGGATCTTTGCTTATTAAGATAACAAGTTCGTTTCTCATACTTTTTTGTTTATACTTTTGTGTGATAAACTTGTGTTCCAAAAATATTGTATAAAGTCTACGAGTTTCTGTAATTTTTAATGAATATTAGTTGGTTTCTTTTGCTTACTGTTTGGTATTTATAGGTAAATGGAATCGAACGACTGATGTAGCGATAAAAACAATGAAAGCCGGTACAATGTCTACGCAAGCATTTGTTGACGAAGCAAATATAATGAAAAAATTGCGGCATGATAAACTAGTTCAATTATACGCTGTTTGTACCGAACCTGAAGATCAACCGATATACATTGTCACAGAACTGATGTCACACGGCAGTCTACTTGATTACTTACGTGATGGCAACGGTTAGTGAACGTTTTACACAATTTTAAAGAGTTAAAGTAGTTGATATTCTTTTTCTATTCAAGGTCGTGATTTGAAATTACCGACCTTAGTTGACATGGCCGCACAGGTACCTGCTGGTTATGATACAAGAAAATCTGACATTTATGTGTTTTCTTTCACTTTTTAGATCGCTGCTGGAATGGCATACCTTGAACATGAACATTATGTAAGTAAAGGATGATTTTGCATTTTCTTTAAAATTTACCTCTTTTTTTGTAGATTCATCGTGATTTAGCCGCAAGAAATGTGTTGGTCGGTGATAATAATGTATGCAAAATCGCTGATTTTGGGCTAGCCAGAATCATCAATGAAGATATCTATGTGGCGAAAGCTGGTGCTAAATTCCCTATCAAATGGACAGCAGTATGTATTCATATATATATTTTTGTGACGTAACAAATGTTACACAACTAACTGGGCGTTTCTGTAATTCACATTATGTATGAATATTTTCAGCCCGAAGCAGCTATATATGGAAAATTCACGATCAAAAGTGACGTATGGTCATACGGAATATTATTATACGAGTTAGTTACACATGGTCAAGTACCATATCCAGGTAATAAAACGTTTTTTGTTCTGAACATTAATATCAATGAGATATGCCGCTTTAGGTTTATTTCTACTTCTTTCTTGTTTATTGTAGGTATGGCAAATCGTGAAGTTTTAGATCAAATTCAACGTGGTTATCGTATGCCTCGTGTAGAAGCATGTCCAGAGAAGATTTATGAATGTATGATACGATGTTGGGATTCAAATGCCGATAATCGGCCCACTTTTGAATATTTATACGCATTTTTCGATGATTTTACAGCATCATCTGGTCCACAATATCATGCACAGAATTAACCATTGTTTTAACGTTTTTCTATCAAGTTTTTTCCGACCTACCTCTTCTATCTGAAATGAAAAAATTTACTCAGGGTAATTTGTAATGATCAAATTAGGATGTGATAAGATGTGTGTGTAAACGCGACTTAAGACAAGTGTGATCGTGAGTTCAGATTTTTTTACAAAACCATGCTCGATTGCACAAACAAATATAAATTCACTTTTTTTGTACATTTGATTTTATACGCTAAAGTTTTATGGCTCAATTGTAGGGCAGCTTACAGTTTCTATAACGCAATCCGTTTTTCCTTTCTTTTGTGCAATTTGTATTGTTATTTTGTTCGTGCATGATTATTTTTTTTTTGAATTGAGAGAACAGTGTAATGATCATTAATCATGTGAAGACTATTTACCAAAAAATTAGTGATTTTATCACCATCTATTTATATCATGGGCAGCTTTTCATGAGAGTTTGCTGTTGAGTAGAAGAATAGCTCAAATTTGAGGGTAATAGTTTTAGTTTTAATGCAATGCTTCATAATCAACGAATATTTTATTTCGCTTTTAAAACGAAATAGTTTGCTTCGTAAATAGATGAAGAAACAATGATAAGTTATTTATGATTGACACACAAAAGCCAGATAATATTTCCATGCAAATGTTACTTGAGAATTCATGACAATTTTCATTTGATCATAATAATAGCTGTTCATTTTTTTTTATTCATTTTCCGAACAGTTTTTCTGTTCTAAACAAGGTTTCATTTTTCTCGTGTTTTCATTGAACGTATAAGTTGTTGTTTTTCTTAAATGAACCAATTTTTTATTATGTAAAATGCAATGTAAATCTTTTCTCTTCTTTTTTTTTTCTTATCGTCTAATAATCGTTGTTTTTAGAGAAAAATATTGCCTTTTGCAATAAATGGCTTTTGTCCTATGTATCTATTAGAAAATTTATTGAAGTATATATAAAACTGTCTGCTACAATAGAGAAATTATCAGATGTATTATTTCTCTGTGTTGGTTCGATGTCTCGAAGACGTATCAACGAAGTTAGAGGTGAAAAATCACTTAGTCCGCAAAATCAAAGACGTCTTTATCAATCACAATTCCTAATTTAAAAATGATTAAAATTGGGTCTCAAATAAGAGTTTAATTAAATATACAGTGACGTAGCCAGGGGCAATTGTGGGGATCGCGGGGGGGGGGGGGGGGGGGGGGGGGGGGGGGGGGGGGGGGGGGGGGGGGGGGGGGGGGGGGGGGGGGGGGGGGGGGGGGGGGGGGGGGGGGGGGGGGGGGGGGGGGGNAAAATGGGGCCCAAAAAACAGGTTTATTTAATAAAAACGGCCCGTGCCCCGGGGAAATTGGGGGGGCCGATTCCCCCCCCCCCCCCAAATCGACCATTTTCCATAGAACTATTTTTTCGATTTTAAATCGATAAAATGAAATTTGATCCTCCCCCACTCCAAAAATCCTGGCTACGTCACTGTAAATATAATAAACAAGGTCCGAGACACTTGAATACTTTACATTTAACTGTTAAGATACTGATGCTTTATTTTTTTATCTACCATTTTTGATAGATTAAGAGTCGTTATCTGGGAACATCGGGCAGGCTTAATACACGACCTTCTCTATTTCAAAATTTCTTTTGCTCATTGCGTAGAGCATATAAAAGTTGATACTTTCTGAAATTTTTCCACCTCCGAATCATATCTTCGCTTCGCTACAGGGTTTTGCTAACCAGTGCATTTTTGCACCTTCGACCAACCTTTTTCTAAAAATGTTATTTTTTTAACACTATAAGTAGTAGACAAATTTGTTTTATAGTATATATTACTTAGTTTGATAGAGCTTTCAAATGAGGTATGTTTCAATAATATTACTAGTGGACGAGAATCTCAATAGGCTTAGGGAGGCCCCGATCTTAGACTAACAATAAATGTCTTCGGCAACGATGAAAAAGAAAACTGAATACTACATTTTGTAGACAAATGTTTAAGAGTTAAATACCGAAAACAGACTTTTTTTGGATCTCGAAACAACAATTTTTTTATTTATGGTGCACCATCATTTTTGTTGATGTTTGAAGATAGTCTCATGTGCTATATAATAAGTTATACATGGACATCGCGCAGTTTTGCACGCGTAACATTATGAGAAATATTATTGTTTAACGACATTTGAATGATTCATCTTGAAAAACACTTTCTTGATTACAAGGTGTGGCTCAAAAATATGTTTCATGACTCATTGTACAATGTCAAGGACTAATCTTTGACAAAATATGTGTAGTGGAAACTAATACTATTTCATTTTTTATGACAAAATGTTGTTGTTTTCATTAGTTTGCTTAGTTTCAGTTCACAACCGGATGTTTCCATCTCTTTTTTCCTATATTTGACTGTATAACATTGACTCAAAAGGTACATAGATCTCATCATGGGATCCTCCAATGGGAGTTAGAAAACAAGCTTGTCAACATATTGTAAAGCTAAAATATATTCCAGAAATCGACATGATAGTAAACCTAATGAATTTCATTATGTTATGTTAATAATCATCATAAATGAAACTTCCACCGCTTTCTGTGTGGAAGCCGATGGTGTTTACGACTTTTGATTATATGTCATAGAGTTAAATCTAGCATAATATGCTTTTGCTCGTATTTTTAACTCAAATATCAAGAGAATGATGGCCCTATCGACACTGGAAGCTGTTTCAGTAGTTGTGGAAATCGGATTTAGGTTGGAATGTAGGGACCAGAAGTTGACAATGTTTAGATTATGTTTAGAAAGTTCGATGTCTTTATCGTCAAGTCGTTTTTGTTTCAGTTATCCTCCAAAACGCTTCTATTGATATTGTTTCCACATTTATTTGATTTCCATAATTTATCATCGTAAATATCTGATCACATTACTCTATAACGATCTTTCATGATGGTGGCTTTTATCCAACCAACAGTAATTTTTCCACACATTAATCCAACTCGCACTTTTTCAATCAATGAAATAACTTGAACACACTTCTGTACTTCATCCATTTTGTAAAGCAGCAGCGAAATCACAAGCCGCCTTCTCTCTGTGATGCATCAAACACAATCGTATAACACATAGAATTTTAATCATCTAATGCGTGTTTTTATAGTATTTTTTCAAAGCATCTTATCTACCCGATCGGACATTATCGAACCTTAAAAACCAAGCGTTTTTATCTGTCGTAGAATGAGTCCAAAATGTGTTAGTGACATATGAGACAGAAACGTGTTCTCAGTTTACATCAACCACGATTGTGAGCAAATAATTGAAGATTTCACAGATACATTGATGTAGTGCAAAT